TGAGGACAAAAACTTTGGTGGCTCTTTCGTTTTGGATTTTACAAAGTGATGACGTCACGTGAAAACGATCTATAGTTTTGGTTTTCGCTTTGACCCAAGATACACCCCCTGTCTTTATATATTATTGAAAGTCTAAATAATTGCTATGCTTTTGTATCGAGAACCACATCCAGTACTTAGTTTGCGGGATTTTGGAAAAAAGAATCCCGCCGACGCGTACGGTTGCTCAAGCGAAGCGACGGTTAATTTTACACAGCTATAAATAGGGAGGAATTAAAATTTTGGTGGTTTCGCTAACCTTGGCGTCATCTTTGGTTAAACTGGCGACTCTTTTTATTTTGGAAAATAATTACAATTCCTTGGGCCCAGTGATTCAGTGATCTAAACACCCTTGAAAGATTGACGACATTAAATGCAAGTGTTTGCTAATTTTGGAGTTAGTTGTGACAAACAGTAAACACTTCAACTTTCCGCTGTTCCTTCGCAAATAAATTTGCACTTGATTCACACATTACTAAATATAATGGAAAACTTCCATTTTCATCAATATTACTCGTGGCGTTTCGTCCTTATCAAAGTAATGAAACGAAATAATGAAAGTACTGATTTGGCTCTTAAGTGATTCTACGGCTGCCAGTCGCGTCAGACTAGCACATTGGTTTGTGAAAATAGGTTTTTCACGTTAAAAATAGCCCGAACCCTCTTCGCTAGTGATTAAATAGCCTGTAACAGCAATTATCTAATTTCTTGTATAACCTAAATAGTGGATTTATTTTGAAACCTTTTGAAACGAAACAAATTGGTTCCGTGGCCGATTGAAACTCGTTTGTTTCTGTGGTTTCTGTGGTTGAAGATCTCGCTCGTGATTGGTGATAACACAATAAACATTCCAGACATATTTTAGGTGTTCACGGTTTTGTGAGTTTGACTGTAAATTTCGCGAGTTTTTCAAAATTGCAAAAATCGCGAAATTTTAGTACTCGCGGAATTGGCGTCGATAAAACCAGGAACATGGAACCTTTCGGAACATCCCGTAACATCGAATAATTATGATAGTTGTGAGAAAAATATGTAAAATTAAATTTCAAATATAAGATAAACAAACAAAAAACAAAACAAAACAAAACAAAACAACAAAAAAACTGGTATCACCTCGAAATATGAAAAGATATTTTGGGGGGTAGGGGAGTCGGTGGGGGAGTGGTAGGGAGCGTTCGATGTTCATCCAACTGACCACAATGAGTGCACACTCCTCTTCTTTCCCGCCAATTACGTTACGTGGCTTTACAGCACTCCGTTTTTTAACACAAACATGGACGATCCTTGCGATGAATATCAGGTAATTCATTGCGTTTCCTTTGTTGATCCCTGATTTCTTCAACATCTGAGGTGTTCGTCTGAGCATCATACAGTTGCTTGTTAAGTCAGTAGCCATAGTTTTGTCACTGTTCCGTCTTCATGTTGCAATTATCATCCCCAGTTTTCGCGCTCCCGCAAGGAACGCCTGGCACTATGACCCACCAAGTGCAGCCTTTCCGGAAACCCGAGTAACATGCAAGTTATTATTAGTAAATCATCAGAGTTCGAGCAGTCCGAACTAGTTTAGACAAGAAACCCAATGCCGAAGAGTATCTATTTCTATCTCTCATTTCTTCATGAGAAATCGTGTATACGCATATCTTTGAATTGACGTAATGAATTGAATACAGAAATTACACAGCCATATTTTTCCATATTTTTCGGTCTGATTTGAGAGTTCGAACGCCACCATCTTGGTTTTCTATGAAGAACGAAATCTGAGAATAAGGGACAGTCACGTGATTAAACTGATGGTGAACGACTGGAAGGATTAATCTTCTAACTGATCACTCATTGCAGTCACTGAGTTTTTTTCTCATTTTTCTTTTTCTTTTTGGTTGTGTTTTTGCTTTGTATTTTATATTCCTAGGTGATACCAGTTTATTTTTGTTTAATTTAATTTTTGAAAATTTAATTTTACACATTTTTCTCATAATTATTATAATTATTCGATGTTCCAGGATGTTCCGGGATGTTCCGAAATGTTCCATGTTCCTGGTTTTATCGACTCCCCTCGCGAAATTTAGTGAGAATAAGGTATTTGCATTAGGAAACGTACAAACGTAAGAATAGATCTCGGTGTAGGCCAAAAGGAGAATATAATGTAGAAGCATGCTGAAGATGAACGTCTCGTGTTGTTACAGGTACTATAATAAAAAAGCCATCTTTGAATAGTCCGGGTGGTTATTATCGATTTTTAAAATTGATGACAATCGATATTTCTGAAGGCAGAAATTATCGATTGTTATCTTTTCTTGCCAATCGATAACAATCGATATAAACAATTTTCTGTGGGTTTACGATTGTTATCGATTGCCGATATCAATCGATAGCAATCCGCGATTGATATCGATTGATTTCCAATATCGATTTTTGTCGATTAACTACGCCCGGAGTAAACTAAGAAATGCTTGCTGTAGATGTCACAAGAGGGTCATCCTCGTTAAATAAATGCTGATTGATGGGTTGATTGATTGATTGATTGATCGATTGACCGAGCGATTGATTGATTGAAACCTTTCCATATATGCATTATAACATTTTTTTCTTTTTCTTTGTTTGTGGTATTTTAATTGACTTTGAGTCTAATCCACAGTGACCGGACATGAACACCCCCACAGATGCAGAAGCAGCTTTGCGTTCAACGACAGGGAAGGAGTATTTTCACCGGCTGACAAGACTTTTGGTGTGCGGAGGCGCCAGGCTCTTAAGAGAAAAGTTTGATTCTTTTCACTCGCCCACCGTTCTTCCATTGACGCTAGGTGATCCTGCTATAGTTGATCAACTGTGGAGAGAAAGACTTTCCAAACCACAATGGGATTGCCTCTACCCTTCCCCTGGTACGTTTGGCAAGTCCACCGATTTCGACGTCTCGTTAACATTCAGATTGTTAAGAACAATATGCAACCTTACAGATCCTCTAACTGGGTGGAACAATCTGCCAAACAGTACAGACCATAGTCTTGAAGCAGAGTTAGTGCGGATAAAATACTACCGCAATTCTGTTTACGGTCACAACAGGACAATGGAAGTGACCAACTTGGAGTTCGTAAATCTTTGGAGCGAAATCAGTGAAGCTCTTTTGCAAATTGCTGGATCTATAAGTAATGAAAAGAGAGAGGAATGGAAAAAGGCCATTGATGAGTTGCGTAATGGTCCTCTAACAACAGAGGAACAAAGATACGTGGTTGAGCTTCAATTATGGTACAAGAACGACATGGATGTCAAAGAAGCATTAGAACAACTTGGAGATCAGTTTCAACAGGTTAACGTATATGTCAGAGATCAGTTCCAACAGGTGAACCAAAGGATAGGTGAGCTTAGAAATAACGGATTATGAAAAGCTGAATTTCACAAGCTTCTGTATTGTGTAAACATGCGACAATTTCAAAAATAGTATTCTCTTTTTCTTGCTTGGTTTCATCCACCAACATTAGAAATTCACTTTAGTGCACGGTCCATTCAGTCTTTAACCCGAAAGATCAGAGACGGACCAAGAAGGTGTATCAATCATCATGCTCATAGAGTGCGTGCGACCTTTGCAAATTTAGGACAGTTGCCTACCAATATCATAAAAAAAATAGGTACGCAATATGTATGTATGATTAACTCGAATTTAAAATATGATAAACTCATCAGTTTGCTCTAATCCCTTGGTTGCGCCGAAAATGTTAGCATGCCTTTATAACCCTAGCGGTGACTGTTGACTGAAATGAACCGCTAACCTTTGCATGACATGGAATTACCGTTTTTCGTAGCCACAACTTTTTCCAAGGGTAAATTAACCTACAGTCACCTAGTTGTTTCCAGAGCAGAAGCCTCTTCAGAAAAAAAAGAAATAATTTTAACGGAAAACTTTTTTAAAGCATCTATGCTATAAAGTAAAACTAAGCGCCCTTTACCCTTTTGTCAACTAGTCGTGTATGTCCAGATCAGATTTCAGGTTTTTCGGTCACTTCTTTTTCCAACTGTCTTTTCACTCCAGCTTTGCCTATAGCTAGCCTTTAAAGATTACCTTCCAAACTCTTTGCCGTTAAAAATTAAAGCGGCAATAACACAGAATTATATTGGGAAGATCCATTTCAATTTCAAGAAAACAAATCAGTATTTCTATGACAGCTAAAAAAACGTTAAGTCCGATTACAATAAAAGCCTGACGCAAAATCACATTGCCCGCGAAAACTTCTCAAAGGAAAGGACATCTCTGTATCAGCAATTGCCACTGGTCTACGCCACACCGAGCCACAATAAAAGAGGCTATTAAAAAAAAAATGCACTGCAAGAAGCTAAACGATCAATCACCGTATATCACAGCAAAAGTTTCCATTTTTAGTATGAAGACTCGCTGTTACGTAACTTTGTCGTAGAAATGTCAAATGTTCTGTCACCACACATAACAGAACAAAAGAAAAACAAAAGTTTTTTAGCTCAAAATTAATATTTTTGATAAGCATAGCATAGTGGCTACGCTGCATACGCGATTAGCCACAAAAACTTGATGTTAGTGTGGTCTGAGTATGACAAAGACGATTCCTATTTATATCCAGGATTGTTATTTGTCTTTTTTGCTTTCAGATGATTTGACAACTCTTATTTGCATCGTCTTGGAACGACTTTCACAAGGTGGACAACTTACAGCAAATCTTGATGGAGATCACCAGGATCCTCCAACAGAGTCTTACATCTGGAGAGTGATTCTCTCGCCTGCCTATAACCGGCTTCAAAGTCTTCTAGAGTACTTGAAAGTTCAGCTTGGTGTCAATGTTGTCAGCCACGAAGAAGGAAGTTTGTTGATAAAGGTGACATGCAGCTCATTGCAAATCCTTGAAGGTCTGTGGAAAGATTACAGCAGCGGCAATCTCAGTAAAGTGGTACAGCGAACGCTTGTAACACCAGAAGTGTTAGAGGAACTTGGGCTTAGCGAGTTGAAACTAAAAACCACAATTACAAAGAGAGAGTACAACAAATGCAAAGAGAGGAGGGGAGATAAGGTGAGACCTCCTTAATAGCTAAATCACCATCAACTGATACCTTTGTTATTCAGTACAGTGCCAGCACGCGGCAGCTGCATAAAATTGGCTCGACAAATGTCAGTCAAAATAATGAAAATTAACAATCAATACACAGCATTTAACACAAAACACTGGATGAAAAATACCAGTAAATTTCTAACAGGACCAGCAGAAGGAAAATTGTAGACTGCAGTAAACAATTTACTGAACTTTTTACGGGTACATCAAGACGCTATTAAAACATTGATAATAGTATAAACCATGATATCCTCTCTCAAAATTAATTTTCAGAAAGGTCCTGGTAGAAAATAAAACAAAAATAAACAGATAAATGATTCTTAAGAAATTAAGAGTAAATAAGGAATTAACTTTAACTTATGCATGAGCGACCTTAGCTTACTTGCATAGACAAAAAGAAACTTTTTTATTTATCTTAGCTTTCTTCGAAATGAAATAGTGGCCTTTTCAATTTTACTGAAAGCATGACTCTAATAGTGTTCGCTTTCTCTTGTGACCATGGATAGGGTTGTGGGTCAGATACCTTAGTGTCGATGAGCGTTTTGATGGCCGTGTTAATCAAGTGATGTGGGTATATAACTTAACAAAACACTTCTCTCAATTAACCGGCCACATTCTTCGTAGTGACCATTCAGAGGGTAATCGGTATGCCCGTATGGCATGGTTTTAATAGTCTTAATTGCTACTTAGTTTTAACTACCTCCGTTTGGAGGTAGGAGGAATAGGCGGCCTGTCTTGGTGGGCTTGATAAATTCTTTGGTCTCGATCTAAGGTTCTTCCACACTGAGAAAGAGGGGCGACTCGTCGTGCTTAATATCCATAGTAAATTTCTCTGAAGAATGGCGAAGAATGAGTGTGTGTAGCAAGTGGTCAGTGGTTACTCTATGTATCAAGACTTTTTTAAGGGTGTCGTCCACATACCACCGGTGAAACAAAGGTAGCAAGCCGTCCTGTTGAAGGATTTCCTGAATGGAGCACGCAGAAACCGTTAACAAGCAATGGGCCGAGCGGTAAACCCATCGCTACTCAATCAACCAGTCAATCAATCAATCAATCAATCAATCAATCAATCAATCGATCGATCGATCGATCGATCTATCAATCAATCAATCTGCCCATACGGCGTCCCGTCAATACAAATACTTCCCCAGCTCCCAATTGTTATGGCGGAATCTGAAAAAAGCTTCAGGCATTAATTTGCGACAGTTTGTTTCCGTGCAGAGATCGAGCAACTTTGGACACGTATGAAAAACTGCGAGCTGGGGGAAAGGTTTGTAAGTATTTTTCGTATTAAAAACGAATGTGTGGGAGAGTGGGAAGGGAACGCACGTGCGCTTGATGACGCGGTTGGTAGCTGGGTAACGGTACGCGTATCATGTTGCGAAAAACGAGTTGAGAAAAGAACTTTGCAAAAGACGCTAAATTATCCAACTGTCGTGAAAGTATTCGAAAACAAATTCGGCCTAGTTTTAAAAACAAATTCCCTCTGAGAGGACATGTGGTTACTGGATAGTGAATAACCACAATGGTACAAAATAGAGTTGCAGAGTTTTAGTTTTATTGCAAAATATTTGTTTTGAAATTTAAATGCTTGACACGTGTTCGAAGCTAGGATGGGAAGGCCAGGATGCCAACGGCAGTGAACGCGGAAAACTTTCGCTAGTCCCTTCGTGTCGCCAAAGACAAAATGCTTTTTCGTAGAGGACGGCAACGTCAATTACTCGAGCTACATAAACGCTTTTCACAAAACCAATGATATCCTTTAGAGATGGTAGAGATCTTATCCTATTAACCCTTTAACTCCCAATCGTACGAATTTGTACGATTGGCACCAGCAATGTTTTGAAAATCTGCAGCTTTCACAGATCTGAAGATATCTTGTTGTGGCAAAGTGATAATTTGTGAAGCGTTTGAAGCCAATTAACTCGCTACAGCTCTGAATTTTCGTTGCATAGGGCTATTTGTTCTGCAGCAAATCCGAAAATGCTCGTTTTCTACTACATTCGAAACCAACAAAAAACACGCGTCTCTGCCTTGAAATGTTTTATGAAAAAATAGTTCTAAATCCAGAATTTTACATTCAAAGCAAACTTCAAGCCTTTTCCTTTCCGTTCACTATGAAAATGTTCAATCAAACCTTCAGCAGACTGAGCAATTAGCATTGGATTAGTGCTATGCTTGCAAACCTGTAATTTTCCTATTCCTGACCGAAAGGAATGCCTGGGAAATACGCAATGTCAACGGCATGCAACACAACCTACCTCTATTCTCTCTGTTTTTTACAAGTGTCGAGCCAGCCAATTCTACCGGCAAAATATTACGCCGATTGCGTTCTTTGTAAGTCAAAATCTGTCCAAATTGCCTTGGTATGGTCTTGGAATCCACCCACAAAACGGCTAGAGAGACAACTNCCAGCCAATTCTACCGGCAAAATATTACGCCGATTGCGTTCTATGTAAGTCAAAATCTGTCCAAATTGCCTTGGTAGGTCTTGGAATCCACCCACAGAGCGGCCAGAGGGACAACTTCACTCATGAACCACCATGTTTCCATACGAATAGTTTTGGCGTTCCAATTACCGCCAAGTCATCTCTCACCTCTGGTTTCGTTCAGAAGTTTGCCTTTACCCACCATTCTAGCTTTATGATGCCAGTTTAGGGGCTTCTGCAGTGGAAAATGACTCGAAAAACACTTATAAACCGCAAAATTACCAGTTTTGATCGAGCTCGCGTGCTCGCTTACTGAACAAGCAACGGCCAAATATTGACGTCACAATAGAAATTTTGGCCTGAGGTGTTATTAAACGACACATATTTTCAATTAAACTTCTTATATGCGATTATGCGATTACGAAATTCTAGAGATTTCCTATGCTTAGAAAAACCTTAAAAAATTCACAGAAATTTAGGAGTTAAAGCTAAAGGACGTTCGCGCTAATTGTTTCTGCGCATCCTTACTGCGCACGCAAATTCACACGCCACGTCTTGCATGAAAGCGCGCGCTAAGTAATAAAATGAACAATGATAGGGCAGATGGCCATTGCTATAGCTTTGCCTGGATTTAACAATCTTGGACGTTCGGTGACGCCTATTTTTCTTTCGTTGGATCATTTTCTCTACCGATTTTCTACGTTTGGCGAAAAATTAGATTCGATTAGAAGTTTCAGTTATTTGCAAAATGCATCAAATTCCGTTCTTTTTAGCTTTTCGTTTATCTGTGCGACGCTTTCAAATGCCTCTAGAGAGTTAAGTTTTGTGAAAACGTTGGTAACATTTGGAATTATTTACGCAACAGACCCACTTCTACAAAATATG